AGAATCATACAGTTCTCCCAATACAAGACATATACCTAATACTTGTTTCATATTGAGGAGTTCAAAAAGAAAAATTCTGAGCAAAAGGAAAAACAAAAGATAAACAACAAAGCATGCAAACAAGAAATCTATAAAATTTAGGTGAGAAATTCTTGCAATTGCTAGAAAATGAAAAGAAATTACCTCGTTAGGGCGAGAATTGGAACCCTAGCTTCGATTGGAACCCTAATTGACGGCAGGACAAAAATCTCGAGAGTTGAGAGAGCGAACAAGATGAAGGCTCCGAATGGCAGAATAAGATGAGTGTACGGCGTCAGGCGGGACAAGCCTACGAACGGCAGAACGGGATGAAGAGATGGGAGGTTACGAATGTGATGAAGGTCGAAGAAGGGGCTAACCCATTCTAAAATGAGGTGAAGTTGAGGATATTGAAGAAAATAATTAAATGGAGTAGGATTTGACATTTTATATAAGAGTTATTTGAGAAGCATTTAGAAATATAAGGACCAAAATTAAAATACTGAGTAGGGTAATTTGAGAAGAATTTAGAGAGATAAGGGCCAAAAGTAAAATACTAGTAGGTTGATTTGAGATGCATCTTGAAATATGAGGGGCAAAATTAAAATAGTAAATTACCAATTAAATTATTCAACAATTTAAAAAGTTAAAAGTCTAAAATAGTATTGAATAAAATAATATTTTTTTTAAATATGATGATATTTCTATGAATATAATATTTTTTTTAAATATGATGATATTTCTATGAATCTTTAACTATCTTATTATCATATATTGTTAAATTTTATGCAAATGTTAAATAACTATCTACAAAATAAAACACAAGATAATATACTATATGGATTATGGCATATGAATATTAAATTATAAATTTATGAACAGAAAGAATAATATCATTAAATATGAAAATATTCATAATACTTTAATTAAATAACTATGTTTAGTCATGTATCATTAAATTTAAACTTATAAAAATGTCAAAATAAATATTTACAAAAGAAAGTATTAGATGGAATACTATATTATATATAGATTTATGAATAAAATGAATCACCCCTATATATAATTATATATAATTACTGAGCCTAAGTGGTCAGCTCCCACGCTTCGGAATCCTACGTGGCACAAAATCATGCTTCCGAGACCGGCTTTGACATAAATAAATATTTCTTATACAAAAATAATTTTTCTTGGATTTCTTTAATGTCTATATTATTCATATTGAATCCATGATTGATTTTTTCCTTATTATTCTTCTACAATTAGTTGCAATATACTATTTTACGTTTCCTTTTCATACATTACCGTATATTACATTTCATGTTCTTATTTAATTGATACATCAATTAATTGATTTATATCCTTGTCATGAAGATTTAAATTCATTTATCAAATTGAATTAAAAAATATCAAATAAACTATAAATTATATTATAAGATGATAACAATTATGTATATTAACATACCATAAAATACTTAATTTATTTATTTCACTATAAGAATTTCAATCTTTTTTACTTTTTCTTGGATAATTAGTTCTTCTACGAAACACCGTTGTTCACGAGCATTGTAGTAGTATCATTAAATATGAGATATCCATGAATCTTTAACTATATTAGCATATATTTTTGAATTTACACAAGTATTAAAAAAATTATGTACAGAAGACATCATGCGGCATATTTTAAACGTAGCTCTGAATTTTTTTTTTATCAATACATGTATAATACCAAAATGCAAAAGGCATTGAACCTTAGCCGATTCGAGCAGTGGGTGTCGTAATAGTATTATTAGATTGATAGATATTGTGCTAAAATAGATATGCATTCATATTTGTAAATTAAAAATACTCATTAAATAATATTTATAAAATGGAACCAATATGTAATACAATTTACCTATATTAGATTATTTCAAATGTTCTATAAAAATTAAATTGCGTAAAATTACATATACATGTCTATTTAAAATTAGTATACAACACGTACGGTGCTTATAACTAATAATAAATTACATTATATCCATTTCAAATAAGTGTCATTTTAAAAATTGTATTTATAAACTCGAATTGAATACAATGTACTCCCATAACATAATTATTTTGGTATAATTATATCATATATTTAAAAATCTATGAGAATAATACGTGCAATCTTAAAATCTATATTGTTTCATTAATTAAAATAAATTTATTTTTGTATTAGCTATCCAAATCATATAAATTAATTACTTGAGTAATATATTAGACTATAAATAATAACTATTCTATTTACGTCCAAGTTAACATTGACCAGTAAGTTATGAATAATTACTTATTTGCATTTTAAATTTGGACCCAATTTTTGATTACACGATAAATCCCCTTATATATATTTTAATATATCTCTATCATTCAAATTTATTAACTAATTTTCTAGAACTAAATTATAAATGTTAAATTTTATTAATAAATACTTGTTCAAAGATATTTCTAATTTTCAAGAGGAATATATCAATTTGTCCAATTATCATCAATATCTTATGGTCAAATTAATATGAAAAATATGCTAAAATTTGAGTATCACATCACATTGATTTTATAACAAATCAACATAAAATTCAACTTGAATACTCATACCTAATGAGATTTACACCACCTTATTTTATTTATAAAATTTTGAAATGCAATTCTATGATCTATCCATACCAAATGAAATTCATAGTTTCATACCATTTAAATTCAGACATTTTATTTCAATTATAATCATTATATTTTTATTAATCATAATACGCAAAAATTATTTTATTCTAAAATCTATTGTCATATAATATGTATTAAGATAATTTTTTAAATTAACCACCAAATTTTATTATATACTAATATTTTGATATTTTTAATAAACTAAATTTTATACTCTTATAACTTTGGCAACCCAAAATTCTATTTACAGTATGTAGTATAAGAACCAAAATGCGACGAATTACGTTATAAATACTTTAAAGTATTAAAAAGTAAAAGGTATATAATTTCAATATGAATGTCCGTTAAGGCGAAGTTACATTATTTATTGGGAACTCCGTGCGTCAGGAAAGGTTAAAAATTATAAAAATAGACTTGTTAAAATTAAAAAAAAAAATATTTATTTTTTAAAAGAAACCAAATAAATATTATGAGAGCATATCAATAATTTTAATACATGATATATCATGTTTATCTATATAAATTTCGTGTTGTCAAAATCCATAATTTTATAATTTTTCGTTAAATTCAAATATATATATATATATATATATTTCAATTTTATAATAAATTAAACATTAATCCTAAATTTCTAACTTGGTTTTTATAATTGAAGTGTTTAAAGCAATGAGTTAAAATCAATTAACAGGAATAATTTTGTCCAATTTGAATTTACTGTACAAATATTTATTTGAAATATAGTTATTAATTATGTAATAAATAAATACAGTTTTCTCATTAATAATTAAAGTTAGATGGATTTATTGACATGTAAATAGTATGCATGTGAAATAACATGCTGTATAAATAACAAAAATTCATTTGAAATTATTTATTATTTATATAATAGAATAATTATAATATTATAATTATCGAGCATATTTGTTTTCAATTTCATATATGGAGTGTTGCAGCTAAGTGATATTAATTTAATTGCAATAGATATGGAGTGTTGCTAATGTGATATATATTAAGGGAGGATTTTTGTTTATATTGCAATTAATTTATTATTTTTTTCATAGTAAATGAAAATTATCCTAAAATAAAATCAAAAAATTTTTTAAATTCAAAATTAAAGCTCTATTGGCCGGAGTTTTTCTATTTTTTTTAAAAAATTACCAAGTTTAGTAGTTTTGAAATTTTTAGGCGGAATGGCAGTTTCTGTTTCAAGTAAAGTCAAACCTTTATATATATATATATATATATATATATATATATATATAAAAGCCTTTCAAACATTGTAAATTTGAATTTTGTTTATAATTTATAATTTTCTAAATAAAATATTTGACATGTTTGTTACCAAAATTTGTGATAGAAAAAGTAAAATAATTTAGTTTTCTTCACACTAATGCCTCACATGCAGTAAGAAAACAAATAAATTTATTTTTAATTATTTAATTATATTAATATTCAATAGTGGAGGATTTTTGCAATTCAATTTTAAATATAATATAAGATAGTGTATGAACATAGTCTTGATGTATATAGATTTTATTTGCAATTCAACTATAAATACATATATGTACAAAAATGAAAATAAAGTATGGGACATAATATTGTATTTATATGGATTTTATGAAATAAAATCGGTTCTTGTTCGGTTCTCGGTTCGGTATGGTTCGGTTCGGTTCGGCTCGGCTCGGTTCGGTTATCGGTTCGGATATTTTATGAATCTCCAGAACCGTACCAAATATTTTTTCGGTATGGTTCGGTTCGGATAAAGTCAAACGGTCAACGGATATTTTTCGGTTCGGGGTGAATTCGGTTCGGTTTTCGGAACGGTTCGGTAATCTCCGAGTCCCGTGCTCAGCCCTTTCATGCCTTAATTTTTGAGTTTTGAAGGCCCCTACGAAAGTTGCAATTAAAAAGATCTCAAGTTCCGGTCCTACCCGGCTCGCTTTCGAATTAGTCGATCCCCCTGTGATCCGGAGACGAGAAGGTCCCTGTTGTGATTCAAGATATTTGTAATTTTTGTATTTTTCTGTAATTAAAAAAATTCAGTAAAAGCTTGGGAAGAACAAGGAGGAAGATGATGGAGAGAGAGAGAGAGAGAGAGAGAGAGAGAGAGAGAGAGAGAGAGAGAGAGAGAGAAAGAGGAATTTAGAGAGAGAAAGAGCAAGAATATTGTAACTGCCGAATTACTCATTTTTTCCCAAGATTCCCAATTTGTTACACTCAGTTAGGATGACCTCATCATGTCATCACTACAAAGGGCCTAAATACATACTATTGGGCTTAACTGTTTAATACTAGAAATTGGGCCTATACAATAACATATTAATTAGCCCACACCCTTAATTATTAACTAGCCCAAATCCAACAACACGCACATCTTCTGATTCACTCAACTCTTCACAATTCCCATCATCCTCTTTACTGTCATTTTGAATCCCGCAAGCCCTAATTGCACCATCTTCCAAAGACTGCACCTTTCTTTCTTCAATCGCCATTAATCCCTCTACCATTTCAGCTTCATTCACAACAGTCCCTCTACCAAAAAAACAAAAAATCTCAAGCTCCAAAGTCCAAACGCACCTCCATTTTGGTCCTCACTTTCAATCTTCAGCAATCACTGAAAAAGTGAAAACTCCAACCTGAAGAAGAAGAAGAAGAAGAAACAATGGTACGCGATTCTTTCCCTTCTCTTCTGTACGAAGTCTTGATTAGGTTTTCAGAAAATTGTAACTAGGTTTCGTGCTTTTTCTAATTCCTTCTTCTTGTGGCTCCATGGCTGAACCCTTTTCGCTATCAATCTCGTTGTTGCTTGTTTCTCAAGAATCGTAGAGATAGTTTAATTTTCATGGCGTCCGAATGTTATTGTCTTCACGATGGAGATGTATTGCTCGATGAATTTCATATGAGGATTTTAATTGGATGAAATTAGGTTTATGAAAGTTTCAGAACGTAGCTAAAAAATGTTCAGTATAACAGTGTAAGGCATAAAGTTGATGCCTTTTAGGTTCTGATCAGGTATCAGCCTAATATTTGCTGTTTTTGGTGTTCATCTGTTAAGTGTTGAGGTTAGTTTTTTCGGGTTCCCACTGATTATATAACGCGAAAAGGGGCTAACGAGACATCTCTTGATTGTAACTCCCTTTTGGGCATTAGAAAACGAGGATGATGAATGTTGCTTAGTCGATTAGAAAATGGAGTTTGGTTAATGTGAGAAGACATCTGAAGTTTGTGTTTTAAGTTGTTTTTTTTTAGGAAGTTTGTAAAGTGTGAAGTTATGGGGCAAGAGCTTGTTACTTGTTCTGATTTGTACTATCAAATTTGTAATTTGAGATTAAAGGGAGTTTGGTAAATGTAAGAAGACACCTGAAGTTTGTGTTTAAGTCGCTTAGTTTTTACGGAAGCTTGTAAAGTGTGAAGTAATGGGGCAAAAGCTTGTTACTTATTCCAATTTGTATTCTCAAATTTGTCATTTGTTCTCGATAGCGTCGATTGTGGTATTAAAATATCCGTTTGTTGATTTTGTGAGTTCAGGCTGACCCAGAGTTAGAAGCCATCAGGCAAAGGAGAATGCAAGAGCTAATGGCACAACGTGGCATGGTATAAATGAACGCTTAAATCCCACCTGATATTTTTTCTTCGTTTGATATTCTGTTTGTGTTTTAGCGTATTTTAGTGTGATTGAATGATTTGACTTTTCAGGGTAGTAACCAGACCCCCGAACAACAGAAAGCCCAGGAGGATGCCAAAAGGTGATTCTCATTCCATTTCCAATTCAACTTAATATTTTTTTTTATTTTTCTTAGTATTATTATCTTTTCCCTAAACTTAGTTAACTGTTTTAGGGATGCAGAGGAGCAAAGGCAACTGATTCTTGCACAGATTCTAACACCAGAAGCACGAGAAAGAGGTAAACTTTGATCATTTTTGAGCGACAAAATATATCAGGCAGTTTTTCGGGTGTGGATGAACGAACAACCAATCTCAATTTTTTTTTTTTTATTGTACGTGTAGTTGCTCGAATAGCACTGGTTAAACCTGAAAAGGCAAGAGGAGTTGAGGATGTTGTAATAAGAGCTGCTCAGATGGGTCAGATTGTTGAGAAGGTATTTGTTGCTAAGTTTTTTTTATGCCTTTTTGCAACTCTATATGGTTCTAAGAATGACTGAAGTTATTTATTTATTAATATTATATATTTTTTGGCTTTCATGTAGGTATCTGAAGAGAGGCTTATATCTTTGCTCGAACAAATCAACACCCAAACAACTAAGGAAACCAAAGTAACTGTAAGTAGTCGGTCATTTTCCCCGTGGATTTAGTCATTTGTTTAGGTTTTTAGCTTTTGATTTAAATTTTGTTCTCAGATAAAGAGGCGAACGAGTGTTCTTGACGATGATTAGCCTATTTGATGGTTCAGTTATCTATCTGGTTCATCGTCGTATGCGGCTCTATGCAAACTTATATAACGTGAAATTATGAATTTTCGTTCTTTTTGAGATTATATTTGGCAGAATATTTTCCTAGTGTTTTTGTATGATTTGATGATTTCTTTGTGTTGTCTAGAGCCCCATATATGGTTTATCGCACATCATCCTTTCATTGAAGTTTTTGCTATTTAGTTAGAGGTCAACACTTTAAGTTGACTTATATTTGGCTTATAGCTTATTAATTAGCTTTTTATAAGTTTTTTTTTTATTATTATTCAAATAAGTTCAGTTTGGTATAATGAAAATTTTTAAATATCAAATTGCAAAATTAAAATTTTCAAGAAAAATGAGAATTGTTATAATTTCCAAATTTCTAACTATTGTGTTTATAATTCCCACCTCATCATCATGATTACCTATTTTTTTCTTTCTCGTTTTTATTCTCTACCAGCAACAATATCTTTCTGACCTAAAAGTTCTAACGACTTAGCTAAGTTTGATAAAATTAGCTAATACCTGATTAGTTAATTTATAGCTTATTAGTATTTTTTAGCTTATTTATCAGTATTTTTTAGCTTATAGTTTATGACTAGCTGAAAAGCTAGCTTATATAATAAAAATATTTGGTAAAATTAGCTAATAAACTAGCTGGAATAAAAAATTCAACTAAACTTATTTGAAAAGCTACCTGAAAAATTTATCAAATAAGCTCGAGCTTTTTAAAAAAGCTCGTCATACCAAGCGAGACTTATTTGAATACAGAAAGCTGATAAGCTAACCAAATAAACTATAATCTAGCTTAATTGAGAGAAGATTCTTGAAGATATGGCGGAGGATGTGGCGGTGGTGCATGACGAAACATCCAACGCCTGCTGCAATGGGGTAGGTTTATGGTTTATCATATGCTGTTGTTGGGGGCATTTTCTTTTCTTTTTTTTTTTTTTTCGTTTGTGTAGTAGAGCAATGTGAAAGAACTTGTAGAATTATGATGGTGTTTTTGATGTATTTTGGGTTGTTGCAGTTGAAAAAGAAGCACTTGAAGCTTTTGGAGAAGTATTCGAAGCTGCACCGCGTTGGTACAGGAAAAATACGACGTGATTGAGAAAGAAAACAGAGTTCTCAGAAATGGTAAATGTTGCATTTCTTCAACATTATTCCCCCCTGATTTCTTCATGTTATTACTTAGTGTTATTGCCGGGTGAATATATAGGAAGAATAAACTTGTTCCTGAAAAGTTACTATTGTTTTTGTTATTTTTTGTGTTTGTGTGTAGATAGGCATTTCATAACTGGTCGCTGAAAAATGAACCTAAGTTTAATGTTTAATGTATTTTCCTTCAACAGCATTGGAGGAACTCAAGTTGCAAGTTGATATATGGAAAGATGAGAAAGAAATAGAGTCTGGCCGTCGTGTTTATCTTGAGGATGAAGTGTCTGCTCTTAAGGAAGTGATCCAATCGCTGAAGCAGAGTCATAATTCTGCTCCTTTAGATGCAGCTAAGGATACTCAAGAACGTTTTAATTCAGCTGAGAAAGAGATTAAGGAGCTGAAGGAAATTCTGGAGAAAGAGAGAGAAAGAGTGTCTTTGGAGAAAAAGAAAGTTGAGTTGGAGAAGAAGAAAGCTGACGAGGCTTTGAAGAAGGTGGAGGCGGAAAAAAAGAAGGTTAATGAAGCACAGAATGTGGCTGCAGGAGAAAGGAAAAAGGCTGAGGAAAATGAGCTCTTGTTGGAAAATTTAAAGCTGGAAATTGATGCGGTGAAGTCAACTTTGGCTTCAGAGAACTCTAAAATTGAAGCCGCTAAGAAGAAAGCCGAGGTGGAGAAACAGAGAGCTGCTAGAGAAAGGAAAAGGGCCGATTTGGCTGAGATAAAATTAGAAGAGCAACGTGAGCTTGCAGAAACGAATTCAAAGAAGGCCATCTTTGAAAAGGACCGAGCTGATGATTTGAATAAAAAATTGGAAGAGGCTAGTTTTAGAGTTGAAAAACTAGAGGAGTTGAATGAAAAATTATGCTTTGAAAATGCTGTCAAGGTTCAAGCGGATAAGTCAAGAACTGGCATAGATGCAAATAAATCAAGTGATGTTTCCATGGACCTGCTAAAGAAAGATGCTCAATTGCCAAAATGGATTGAAAAACTTCTCTTGGATAAAGAGCATAGTATTAATAGGGAGAGAAAGCGTGCTGATTCAGAGGGAAAGAAAGCTAAGAAACATAAGAAAGTTGCTGAATCACAGAAAAAGCTGGCCCTGGAACAGAAGCATCGAGCTGATCAACTGTCTAAGAAATTAGATAGTTGTAGGTTGATGTTAAAAGAATTACAAACGGATCTGGAGGAGTTTGTTTTGCAGAGGATAAATGCAGGTCATGCACGTCTGAGAACTGACAAGGATATAAGCGAAACTTATACAGTTAAGCTGCTTAAGAAGCGTTTGAGGCTAGAGAAGACGCTTGTAAAGCATGCCAATTAGACAGCAAATGTGGAAGCCCTTCGTAACAGAATGCTACGTCAAGAACTATGTCAGTTGAAGCAGCAGTGTCTTTTTTTCCGACAGTGTTTGGATTTTCTAGATAAAAGTTTTCTTCATGGCCTTGAAGGTACACATCATCTCGAAAAGGTTTGTTTCCTCCTTCTCACTATTATTTACTCTACATAAATCGTGATAGTGCCTATTTTGTGTAGATATAAATATAGATAAAGATGCGGATAAAGGTTCTCGACCACCATTACTTGCTCAATTTTAATTTCTTGTACTCATTAACTGGCAATGTTACCTTTCAGACTGGGAATCTGACCTTGGCACGAGAAACATTAGGCTCAGATGGGTGTCAAAGGCCACTCGTATCAGGTATAGATTCTGGGCTGGATCCTCCATATAGAGGTTCCGACCAAAATTTGTTACAGAGTTGTGCGATAAATTCAAATTCGGCATCTTTTTCTGATCAAACGTTGGTGGGATCACAGGATAGACATACCTCCTCTGTCACTGCTTCAGATAAACTGGATGAAGATGTATCAAACCTCAAACCTACTGTATCAAGGTTGACAGACCAGAGGGGAATGACTTACAATGAACATGCTGTAGCTGAAGCTGATAACAGCGTATAAAGTTCGTTTAAAGACGACGATAATGAAATGCGAGTTGTTTACTCTGGAAGGAAGAGGATTCTTGATGCGGCGGAGTCCATTGAAAATTCGTGTTCTATGGAAGAGAAGCTACATCAACGTGCATTACTTAAACTTTCCCTACTTGATGGGTTCCTCAATGGCCAAGAGAAAGAACATGAAGACATTCTGCAAGAGAATCCGAGCAGAAAGGTTGTTAGACTGCAAGAGGAGAAAGATGTCACAGGAGGAAATGAAAAACATTCATCATTCAGAAAACTCAGAGGAGCCCAAACGCAATGTTGACTTAGGTGATGATCGAGCTGATGCTTTTGTGCGTGCTTCACCACGTCGAGTAGATGTGATGAGAATTGGTTGGCATTTGATGGGTGGAGAGGATGATAAATTTGGAAGGAACCAGTGCCTTCCGCAAGACTTCGATGAAATGGCTACTTGTGATTATATGAGATTACTGGACTTAGCTGATGACGAAAGCTCTTACCTTCGGGCCATTGCCATGCCTCTCTCTCCTCTGCCACCTGAGCTTAATATTCATGGAGGTGAGAATCTTGAAGTAGATAATCCTGAAGTGTTTACATACAAGGGTTGTCCAGAGACATCAGTAAATACAAAGGATAATTCATCATCAGTTTCTAGCTTTCATATTATGGACACGAGTGCTCCTTAGACCAGCTTCCATTGTTCCAAACCCAAACCTCGACAACAGAAGTCTCCCTATTTACAGGTTCGCCTTCAGCAAGACGACGCATCTTATCATCATAAGCAACAACAGCCAGCGACCCGCTAAACTTAGCAAGATAACAGTGTATATGTCCACAATCCTATCGCTCTTGGGCATGAGAATGAGTTCAGGGTAAAACTTCTACTTAGCAAAGTCGTCGAACGAACAGATAGAGAGTTTTCCATACAACATAGCTGTCCAATAACAAATCCATTTATGTGAACATGCACATGATATACTTGGACTTTCATCTCATAATCAAGATCATCATCCGTATAACTAAACACACGAGCCCTGACAATTTTATAGTCCCCCGATGAAGGATCGATCCCCAATCCGTAAAAATTGATGTCCGATTGGAGTCGGGAAGGCAGGGGAGGCTCGGACGTGAAAGGGGGAAGAGTTTTGATCTCGTTGGTAAAAGGGTTCCACAGAAAATCTAAACCCGTATCATCAATCTCTCCACATGTATCAAGATCTCCACATGACATCAATATCCATGGGTTGCAGGCAGTTGTAACCTGATAATCGTAGGGTTTCGCATACAACAAGGGATTGCAGTTTTGAGATTTGAGAAGAGCCGACAAGATGGACATATCATCTTTTACTACTACTTCGAACGAGTCGTGTTTGGTAGAGACTAGAGAATAACAAATTAATATATATGTATATATATATATATTATACACATAAATATATGTGTATAATAATATTATATATATATTAATATATATAATATATTAATATATATAATATATTAATATATATATATATTATATATGTGTATAATAATTAATATATATATATATTATACACATAAATATATATATGTATAATAATTAATATATATATATATATACATATATTAATTTGTTATTCTCTAGTCTCTACCAAACACGACTCGTTCGAAGTAGTAGTAAAAGATGATTTGTCCATCTTGTCGGCTCTACTCAAATCTCAAAACTGCAATCCCTTGCTGTATGCGAAACCCTACGATTATCAGGTTACAACTGCCTGCAAGCCATGGACATTGATGTCATGTGGAGATCTTGATACATGTGGAGAGATTGATGATACGAGTTTAGATTTTCTGTGGAACCTTTTTACCAACGAGATCAAAACCCTTCCCCTTTCACGTCCGAGCCTCCCCTGTCTTCCCGACTCCAATCGGGCATCAGTTTTTACAGATTGGAGATCGATCCTTCATCGGGGGACTATAAAATTGTCAGGGCTCATGCGTTTAGTTATACGGATGATGATGCTGATTATGAGATGAAAGTCCAAGCTGAGCTGTTATCGCTCGAAACTAGTTTGTGGAAGGGAATTCCTTATCCACCCCAAATGCGAGTCTATTCTGTGGCTGTTCACATAAATGGATTTTGTTATTGGACAGCTATGTTGTATGGAAAACTCTCTATCTGTTCGTTCGACTTTGCTAAGCAAAAGTTTTACCCTGAACTCATTCCCATGCCGAAGAGCGATAGGATTGTGGACATGTACACTGTTAATCTTGCTAAGTTTAGCGGGTCGCTGGCTGTTGTTGCTTATGATGATAAGATGTCGTCTTGCTGAAGGCGAACCTATAAATAGGGAGACTTCTGTTGTTGAGGTTCGGGTTTGGAACAATGGCAGCTGGTCTAAGGAGCACTCATGCACTATCCCTGCCGATGTTTATCGGGTATTGGGCCTCTTCACGAAGAATAAATTGCTTCTTGCGGACTCCAAGGGCGAGATACTGCTTTATGATTGTGGGACGAACGATTTGGTCAATCTATGTTCCAGCGATTATAATTTGAGTGTGGAGATTTTCCCCCTTTTCGAGAGCTAATCTATATCAGTGTTATGTTACCCCGTTTGTGTGAATCGTGTGCTGCTGTTTGTGTGAATCGTGTGCTGCTATGTAAGGTCCGTTAGCCTTTTGTTGAACTGCTTCGGCATGGTTCCTTGTTTGAGATTTCTTTATTTGTAATGACATATGTTCTCAATTCACCGTTTTTTTCGTTGCTTATAGATCAACCTTTTTCTTATAGTGATCACATTGTTTGTTTTCTATGTGTAATGCACGTTGAAGCACTCCATCCTCATGTTAATATGCTGCCATGACATGAGCTTATGTGCACACACACACACATTGCGGTAAAAGCATGTTTAGAATGACTCATCCATATTACCCTTTCGTTCGTCATGACCGATTAATGTCTTTGGTGGTAACCGCTTAGTTAACCCATCTGCTGCCACAAAATTTGTTGTTTTAATATGCCCTATAGACACTCAATGTTTTTGCACAACATTCGAGTACTTCAATTTCACGTGTTTAGCACCGTTAGAGTACTTGTAGTTTTCTTAGAAGGCAGCTGCAAAAATTTCAGAAGAAGTTTTATAACCACCTGGCTCTTAATATTACAACACATGTACTCTGTTTCTTATCTTTTAAATTTTAGCAGCCGCATTCAAATCAATAAACACAAATCATTTACCTGGAAATGTTCCCTCTTTATATTATATGCAAGATGTCTTATCTAAATTTTCATGAAGAATTGCTCTTATTCAACTCAATCATTATCATAACTAGATTTTTAAACACTCATTTATTTGTTATGTTGATTCAAAGACCAATGGTGATTGTATATGGTTTTTTATAGGATTTTAAGATCTCCCATACTTTCGGTACTTCATAGATTGGAATTATTCTAACTTAATATTCTTTATGTGGTAAAAAACTAAAATATGAGATTTTGGTCCTTCGGCTTTTTTTTTAAACTATTATTTGAAAAAGGTTGCTTATAGTTCACAAGCCTTTTTGTATCATAAACTTTCCAGGTTGTAAATGTAAAGTAGTACAGATCACACAATTATTAAGTGCTCGTGTTGGACGTCACGTAAGCCTTCAAACATAATTACGTGCCTTCATTATATTTTGATTATTGTTTTAGGAGTTGAACCTCTGATACTTTCTATTGTGAGTTTTACATTTTTGGCAATCGATTTTGGATTTTTTAAAAGCCGAGTGTTTGTGTTTAGTTTATTTGTTGATTTGTGAAATTATTCATTCTTAGTGAAAATGAGTGCCCATTGGACTTGCACAAATTTCAGATGAAGATACTTTTGGCGTCTAGAGGTTTAGGAACTACCATCTCCTAAAGTACAAACATTTGGTCTCATAAAGTCTTATGCGGAGAAATTGCTTATGTAGTTATGTATGTAGTTCATCTTAAAAATAAAATATAGGGATAAACTAATTATGCACATCTTTTCTTTTTTTGTGACAAATAAAGGTTGTCTGTTGCCAATGTACATCACTTTTCTGGATATGTTAATTATTGATTTGTCTGAGCCAATCTAAGTGATTTGATGGATATTTTTTCTTACTTAGATGACATGAAAAATGTTGAATCTCAAGTATTGCTTTTTGCAAATTCAATATATGGTATTTTGTAATTAAAAATCTCAACTGTAATTGTACGACAAAACACAAACTGTTGTATTGGAGTACTAATAAATATATGCTCTGCTTTGGTTGTATGTATGTCTTGGACGTGAATATTGTAATATTATGATTTAGAGTTTCATAAATATGGATGTGTTTCAGGTTTCGGGTTGGGGTGGATATTTGGTACACTGATTCAGTGATTCTGTGCCTTGATTATATAATAATTTCCTTCTATTTTATTGGACAGAAAGTTCTACTGTAATTTCGTGCCGGAAAATGCTTATATGGATGGAACGCGTGCTATACCTGATTTTCATAAAGGATTTGTTCGTATGGGAAGTGTAAGTGCAGAATTCTCGGTTTCTTGTCATGTTTTATTCCTTCAGCTTTCTCATTCTCTCCCATAATAGAGAAGCCTGATAAATTCTATAACAGGAGATAGTGGTGCTAATATTGTATATGTAGAATTTTGTTTGTTCTCACTAAAATCATATTCACTATGTTTCTCAAGGGAAGAAGGGCTAATTCATTTTCAATGGCTCGACACATCTTCAAATGCTATTGAAGATGTACTCGGTCTATCTTCCATTAGAATGGATCCCTGCTTTTGTTGCTCTCAAATTTTCCGTTATTGTTATCTGCTGTGTTATAATATTAGTCACCAATTAGTAATTCCTCAATGAAATTTGAACACCGGATCAAATTCACTATGTTCACGGATTTAGATCCGTTAATATTCAAGGGCTAGGCTCTTAAGATACTAAGGATGAATTACACTGCAGGTGATTCAGAAAACTTGGTAACCTTGTTGTTTGAGACCATGACCAATGACCATCAATTATATTTTTGGATGAAGTAATGCTATTTTCAGCCATCAAGTTGAAGGCCATAGTGAACATGAAGCATCAAGCAAGAAGGCGTTTGAAGAGAGTTGCTTATGCAGGTGATTTGGTTATTGTTGGTTCTGTTATTCTAAGGTGCATAACAAAGTTCAGTCGAATCATAAGAAATTACCTCATCTTTCAAAATTGTACAAATCTCCTTCAGTTATTTAGTAATTTTTAAATAACAGGATTGCATTGACAGCTGCTTATTATGAAACTTGATGATGTTGGACCAAACTACAGATGGATGGCTTTACGAAAACAGATACTCGTCATTGTTCTAGCCCCAACCAACCAACTGTGGGAGTTAGATGCAGCAATGCTTAGGCGTCTCCAAAAGCGTGCAGCAATGCTTAGGCGTCTCCAAAAGCGGGTCGGTTTGGTGAATCATTTTCTAGAGCAAAACAAGCGTAACAAAAAAATTTAAGATATAAGCATCTTGTCTAAATTTCGGTGCGCAGTTATCGGTTCACCCACTACTACATGACTGTTTTGATAAAATTTCTTTTAGATAATGACCTAAATTAGCTCGATGTTCTTATTAATAGATACATGACTACTTTGATCAAATTTCTTTTGGTGTGTATAAAAATGCATGGTCCATGAGTTTAAATCAACAATTTATACATTCATCCATATGACATTTACATGAAGTTGATAGTAAGTAAAATGCTATACGATTACGTGGGCCGGCACAGCCGAAGGCTTCCTAGTTATTTTATATACAAGTTGACACTAGGCTTGTAAACAAATCGATTTTATTCGATTCGGTAATTGAATTCGATATTCTTGATTCGAACTCGAATACGTTTAATGTTGTATAATTGAAAGTAAAACGAATTCAAATTCGAATTTGTAGATATTCGATTTGAAATTTGAATATTCAATTCGTTAACGATAATTATATAAATTTTATAAGTTATATATAGTATACATTTTGTTTATAATATATATGTATATATTAATATATATATATATATATATATATTATACATAACAAATAAAAATTAATAATTTTTAATAGTTTTTATAATTTTATAATTTATTTAGTTTTTATAATTTTTATAAGCTATATAGTTTTAGATTTTTATAATTTTTAATTAGTTTTTACAAATAAAATTTATAATTTATAATTTGTTTTAAAAATTATAACAAATAAAACTTCAAATTTTTTTTATAATCAAATCTTTTTTATAATTTATATAATAAATAAAAATTTGATTATAATTTCAAAAAAAAAAAAAATTATGTCTTCCAACCGGCAATCGCGGACGTGCACAGTCGCGTCCTACCGGCGATTGAGGCCGACACTGTGCACGTCCGGTTTTTCGGGTGGACAACACATTTTTTATTTTTTTTTCACTTTTTAGAAAAAATGTCATGCGCAGAACTGCCCAAAACGAGGGGTAAATAGTAACGTAACTGTGCACGTCCTATGGAGCCAACTGTTGGCTTCATAGCAAAACCGTAAATCGGTTTGGCTCTATCGTAAACGGGGTATTTTGCAATTCGCGCACACACACACACACACACGCACACAAAAAAATAATAATAATAATAATAATCTTGAAGAAAAAACCGATCTTTATCAACAAGATGCCAGTTATTTTCTCTACCGTCGCATTTCTCAACTGACCTCTGACGCCACCGTCTGAAAAACCGCCTCGTGGAAATCCCGGCGCACGATATCACCACCACCGGAAAATCCCGGCGCATGTGAAAAAAACGCCACCGGAAAATCTTTTTAAGTATCTCAGGCGAAAACCCGACGGCGGCGAAAGCCCTTTCGTCTTCTCCGTCTGAATCCGACATGGAGAAAGAGCCACTCCTCTCTTACTACAGAAAACCCCAAATAACGCCGTCGGTCCCACCTCCGTCACTCTGCCCTCTCCCGGAAGATGAAGAAATTACCATTCCGCCCCTTCCCCTCACCCCCTCCTCAAGGGAATTCAAGGACATGCTCATATTTGGCTCCCCTTCATCTTCATCCTCGTCCCACCTCAAAGATTCTTCTACCAATCTCCTCGAAGCCCTAACCCTAACCCGTATCTCTCCCAGATGTTCAGCTGCCAATATAAACGATGGGCCGATTAATATCGACCCGGAAAGCCAAACCTCTTGGCTGGTCGATCCCAATTATACATTCTCCAAGAGCAATCTCCACAGATCCAAAACAGCACCTGCAATGGCCACAATCAACGAAATCGATCATTCTTCGAAAACTAAGCCACCCCAGCTCGGCAAAACATCGATCGTGAGGCAAGGCATTGTTCTCTTGATCATCTATTTGAGTCTTGGTGTGGTTATATACTCTCTGAATAGGGATCATTTCAGGGCAAGCCAAACGCACCCTGTAGTTGATGCTCTGTATTTTTGCATTGTGACTATGTGTACAATTGGGTATGGCGATATAACTCCTGATAGTACACTGACTAAATTGTTCTCCATCACATTTGTGCTTGTGGGTTTTGGTTTTATCGATATCCTGTTGAGTGGTATGGTTAGTTACATGCTTGACTTGCAAGAGACTTATCTGTTGAGGAGTATCAAGAGTGCTCGTGACCCGGGTTCTTATATATTTGATGTGAAGAAAGGTAGGATGAGGATTCGGATGAAAGTTGCTTTAGCTTTGGGTGTTGTTGTTCTCTGTATCGGCATTGGGGCTGCAGTTATGCATTTTATCGAGAGATTGAATTGGCTCGATTCTTTCTACCTTTCGGTTATGTCGGTTACTACAGTTGGATATGGTGATAGGGCTTTCACTTCCTTAACCGGCCGAATTTTCGCTTCTATTTGGTTACTCGTGTCTACACTTGCGGTTGCTAGGGCGTTTCTGTACTTGGCCGAGGCAAGAGTCGATAAGCGTCACCGGATGATGGCGAAATGGGTGCTCGGTCAAGATATGACTGTGGCCCAATTTCTTGCAGCCGACATAGATAACAATGGTTTCGTTTCGTAAGTTCTTCAATCTTTTTGCACATGTAGAAGTTAGTTTTAATTCTTGCTTAATTTTTATTGTATAGCGAGTTAGGGCGTGCTTGGATACAAATAAATCCGCTCAAATGGGATCTTTTTAATTAACCATGGTTAATTTTGAAAAATGTGGTATGATTAGTTATGAACGAGATTTTGATTTTATATTAAAATCATATTTAAAAGAAAATAATTAAAATTGATTTGATGTAAAAGTTGGAGAGATATTGTGTGAAGTGATGGTTTGTTAAAACTATGTGAGTGGATGGATAGTAAAAAAAGTTGATGTATTGTGGAAGAATGATTGATTGATATTCTTTAATTATGTAGATAATGTTGAGGATTGTTTACTCTAGGAAAGGGGAAGCTGGGAAAGTAATAAAATGAGTGATGCAATGTAGGATGACCCGAATCGTGGATTACCTGAAATCTTGAGATCCTGCCGAATCGGGCATGGAAGGATATCAAATTGTTTATCTTACCTTTTCGTTATCATCTTATTACCTTATATAAAGAAATAATCGAATAAAAGGAAATGAGGAAGTTCAGATTAGGCATCGAGAAAAAATAATCTTAATAGCTACTTCTTGTTCTTGTGGTTATCTACCAAGGGATTCATGGTATTTTGGTGAATTGTATTATTATTCTTATTGTTATTGACCACTGTAAGAAAGAAAGCTATAGAACCGTAGAAGGGCGTGGATTAGATTTATTTATTTATTTATTTTGCTTTGTCCATGATAATGCAAGATGTCTTTCTAATAATCTATAAATGGCCGTATGTCATTTTTGGTTTTCCTTTTTCCAGATTTTATTAGTGAGTATTTCTTACAAAATCGAAGTACTAACTGTAGTTAAATTCTCTGTGCTTAATCTGCATGACGTTAGGCCTCCTCATGTTGTAATTATAAAACCTTGGATTTTGCACTAGGCAAGTGTTCATTCTTCATAACATTGTCCATGATTTTATATTTGCCTCATTGATAAGAATCCTAAATAGGTTTCTAACTACTTTGGCATAGATTATTTTTGTTCTTCTTCTAAACTCTTTTTATTTTTGGTTATTTTGACATGGCATGTTGCAGAAAATCGGAATATGTAGTTTATAAGCTCAAGGAGATGGGCAAGGTTTCAGAAAAAGACATATTGCAGATTTGTCAACAGTTTGAACGACTCGATGCGGGTAACTGTGGAAAAATCACTCTTGCCGATCTTATGGAAAGTCATCACTAATTCGAGAGAATGGTCAAAAAAAAACTTTGCATGAACACTCTTTAAGTTTGCACTCTGAAAGTCAGAGTGGCGAACGCTCTACAAAAAATGTTTCTAAAGAAAATGCAGAAATGAATCGAGCCTGGGAGAACTGGATATGATATCTCTACTCCAAGCGAATTTTTAACAGCTTATATTATTATGATAGTTGAGCCTGTTGTGCCGAACCAGGTAATAGTTTCTCTTACAAATTCAGAATAGTTTGTGTTAACAAGTGAATTCTGGTTCTTGTGAGCCCGATTTTGTGCCGTTATATTTGTGTATGCAGGTTTTTTTTCTTCTTTTATTTTGGCATATATGGTTTATGAGGAAGGTATAAAGACCTTTTTTTTTTGTATCAATTGTAGTTTTTCCTGAAGGTCTTTGTTTGTAGGATAATAGTAATCGACTTACATTGTAATATTTGAGTTGAATGGTAAAACCAAACTATTATGTGTACATGCACAAATGTTTAAATCACGTACAAATATTTAAGTTAATATAAATTATATGTACTTATATAATATTAAAATTATAAATTGGATAAAGGTATTACATTTTAAATTTTTGACATTAATAAATAAACATTATGAAAGTATTCAACTTTATCGCTATATTAATTGCATGAAATAAAATGGATAATATAGCTCTTATCAATCTGAGGATCCTAACCTATTAATTATATTAAAAATTATTATTATTATTATTATTATTATTATTATTATTATTATTATTATTATTATTATGAAACAATTCTATGTTACCAAATAATAGTACATCTCATCTTCATGGCTATGAGTAAGCCCAAGCCCACCTGATCCCACAATCACTTTTCATCAAAAGGAAAAAAGTAAATAAATAAATAGATAAAAAGCTCGAGAAATTTTTGTAGTTGATGAAGAGGGCCTTCAATTGACCTTGACTGATGAAACTAAAATTGCATAGTTGCTATAAATTCTATGTTTAATTATATTATATTTAAAATGGCCATTTAAGTATATTTATTGATGGAAAATTATGAATAATTATGATTATTGATGTAATTATATAAACGAGGTTATAACAAATAATTAACTTGTCATTGACTCTACAGTAGAGTTGTAAACAAGCTTAGGCGAGTTTTGGCTCGAGTTCTTATCAAATCGAGTTGTTACTAAAAGCAGCTCGATCTCGATTAATTAACGAGCTGATATACGATAAAAGTTAAAAAAAATCATGTAAACACTCTTATTTATAGAAGTTTACGTACCGAGTCTTAACGAAATGAGTTGAGCTATGTTCGTTAATTATTAAATAAGCTTGAGCCCACAAGTTTCATTTAACAAGTCTACCTTACACTAATATGGAATATTATTTCTGTAAGGTATGAGATTAAGAAATAAGAACTATTTTTAATAGAAACTGATGGGTCTCCTCTTAGATCTGGAGCAAACTGGTGGAAACGAGCTCAGATCTGAGGTGAACTGACGGAAACGAGCTCATATCTGTCTGAATCACCTTCGAACCGTTGTTAGACCGCGAGAACACCTGCAAAAACTCAACGCTGGAGGGGTTTCCGGCGTAGAGCCTCTGACGATCAAGTCAGTATATGAGAGAGAAGGAGAGAGCTGCTCTGAGAGAGCCGCAGCTATGGAGAAGAGTAGAGAATGAAGTGAAGTTAGGGTTTTGGGGTTACCTCAGCTCCTTTATATAGAAGCCAAACATTTACCTGAAGTTCCCAAAATGCCCCGGCCGACTTACTGGAAATGTCCAAAATACCCTGGTCGGTTCGCATTCCGCCCATCTCCAAGTCAGCATCTAGATTCCTTCTTATCCTTAATAGCCTCCTTATGCTATGTTGAAGTACACCGGGGTCGTCGGAGATCTATGAGCCTCGAGACGTCCTAAGTCGACTCGGGATATCAACTCGAGTCGATTGTGTCATCCTCAATCGTCAGTAGACCCTGATGCGCCTCTCCATCTTTCCGGAGGGGGTCGACTTCTGCTAGTCGACATCTGGAAGTTAACTGAGAGAGACAGTTGGGCCCTGAGACCAGAGAAGTACAAGAGGTCCGCCGGAAGAGTCAACTTCAGATAAGTCGACTCGTTAATGTCTGAACCGTTATACGACAGTATGGCTATATCAGAAATTGAGTCGTGATTAGTGGAGTTATATATGAGAAATGCTAAGGTCTCATTACAGAACCATTCCGTCTGAGTTTGTAATCGTTAGATCATCATATAACCGTCAGAGATAGTTGATCTAACAGTTATAAACTCCGATAAAATAATTCCGTAACGGGAGCGTAAAATTTTTCGTTATATAATACATATTTCTTGAGGCATAATTAAGTAATTGTTTATTTATATTTAAAATTGCAAGGCTTTGACCCATTCAATGCATTCCAAGTGGAGTAGATAGCGTATGATGGATTAAGAATATTGACTTTTGAGGAATGAAGCCATGAAAAGACAAAGTAATCTTTTGTGACTTGTCTGATTATCACATTATTCCAATTATTATCTTTTATTTTCTTTCTATTTCGATTTTATAAATATAAAATTAAATTAAATTATTACCGCTCAGTTCAGTAAATCATATAATGAAATACTATTTCTTATTTAACAGCTATTCAAATAGAATTTCAATGACAAATTCAAAAGATATTTTTCAATTCTATTATTTTCGTTTGATTTTTCAATGGGTTAATTCCAACGAAAATTTTAACAAAAATATTCCCTTGAAATAACTTTTTTAATAGAATTTTCGTCGAATTTTGACGATTCCATTGATTGATTTTCCAACTGGGGTGGAAATAAAAATTCCAACTGAAATTATATATTCCTACAGAACTTCCTACACTAGAAAGTCATTGGAATCATCAAATTTTCATCTAAAATTTCAGTGAAAGGAATTTTTGTTGGAATCATTCGAACAAAAATTATACCATTGAAATATCTGTTGAAATTTTCATTGGAGTATATTACTATAGGATTTTCCTTTGGAATATAACATGTTTTATGTCGTGCAAACCATCAATTTATACTTGTAAGTTAATATGACAAAGTAATTCGAGTAATTTGATTATCCCATGAAAATTCGAATAATTCAATTAACATTCATCTCAACCCTAATTTTCTAAATACAATTATAAATCATTTTCAATAAAGGGTATTTAAATTGGGGATAAAAAAAATACAAAAAATAACTAAATGAATAAACAAATGATCAAAGGTCTAGCTAGGGTTAGGGTAACTTTAAAGAAACTCTTTTAGTATATTAATTAATTACATTATGATAATATAATTTTGTTGGTTGCACATTGGGCGCAAATACTTAGGTGCGTCTTGGCGTAGGTGTGCCAGAGTAAAAAAAAAATGAACATGTTTCATTACAAAATAAACATGTGCAACACATTGTTGCACATGATCATTTTGTAATAAAACATGTTCATTTTTTTTGCCCTGACACACTTACGCCAGGCGCACGGTAGTAGCACTGGCATATTGGGGCCTTTTGAATTGGTCGTAGCTGACTTTATGTATGTTTTCAGCAAACAAATAAGTGTTACATCACTTTATCATCAACTTTGCAAAAGGCCTCTTTTTTCATAATATAGTAATTATAGACTAGCTAGATTCTAATGAGGTTGGCATATAAATATGACATGTCCTTTTTTTTTTTTTTTTTCTTCGAAACGATAGGATATGAATATGACATGTCACACTATGAATATATATATTTTTTAATTATATCAATAATTTTTTGTTTTAGTCGAGTGAGCTAGCTTTTTAACTATAAGTGATCATAAACTATAAGCTATAAGCTCGAAAATCACATATAAGTTATAAGTTAGTTTATCAGCTATCAACTATCTTATCGGCTAGTTTTACCAAACATAACCTAAGTTTCAACAATAATACCATAAACAATACAAACTTTATGTCACATATAATAGATGCAACTTATAAGGTCAATAATTTCATGCTACTTGTTTAAGAGTTAAAAGTTTTCCCCTTTTAAGCAATCTCAATGGCTCTTCATAAATGATTTAATTAATACACACAATTTAGATCAAATTTCTTAAAAAAAAACACCAATCATAAGAAGAATTTGAAACCACAAATAAGCATTGGAAAAAATTAAATGATGCTTTATTAACAAGTTTCTACATACATATATAATTAAATTGGTTTGTAAACCAATGTGACAAAATCAATTAGCTCATTTATCACTTCAATACACGTGTTTTTCTTAGTGCCTTTTATTTTTCCAAATATAATTTTATTTTTTCCTAAAAAAAAAAAAATTGATTAGATTATAGTTCTCTATTTGGTCCCCTACCGAAGTGTTCGAAGAGTTTGTTGCTTCCTTATAGCCGACTTTCTTCTTAGGTACAAAAATAGCATATAAACCTTTAATCATAATAAATGGTACAACAAAGTATGTTTGGCACGTTAGCTAATTTTGGT